GCCATCCCGTTGGCCCTATTGGCTGTATACATTTGAAGCAGTATCATCCTGCTTTGAACAGCCATGGCTTCTCACAAAGCATTCTGGGTGCTGCTTGCTGGGCGTTTGTTTGCTGAGAGTAGTTAGGAGAGCCCTACTCCCCTCACAAGCTACAATTCCCATACCTCACTGGGAAGAAGGGTTGATTGTTAAACCACTCTGAGAATTATAGCTGTGAGGGGAATAGGGCTCTCCTTAGCAACTCCAAGCACCCTTAACAAACTACAGTTCTCAAGATCCTTTGGGGGAAGACATGATTGCTCAAAATGGTAGGATATTGCTTTAAATGTATAGTGCAAATGAGGCCTATATATTTTAATGGAAAATCCCATTATGCTCTGTGTGAAGAAGTATTTTGTTGGGAGAGAACCTATCCTGAAATCCCAGAGAGCTACTCAGCTAATTAGGTACAAGGCACTTTTCTATGCTTCTGTACTAGATGTCTCCTATCCATATTATCACTGACACTCTCAACTCTACAAGGTTAGTTAGACCTCTTAAGGAGAAGGTGCTGTTGAGTTCGATTCAATTAGAGAAAGGCTGTGGGCCGAAAACCGCACAAAAAAACTTATTTGGGAGTTTTTAATAGCGGCTTTTCCAGAGGTCTAGAATTCTCCCCATGCTTACTTTTCATCAGAGAGTTAACTTCCTACATAATCAAGGCTACTTTGAAATTTTTATTCATTTGTACTGGATAACCTTCCACCAATTCCATAAGGCCTATGACAATTGCCCCAATCCTGCAACTTGCGTTAAGTATGATAAGTGCACCTCAACAGTGCTACAAGAAAATGTAGAACCTTATATACTGTTGGGGACATTGCTGTTTTTTTTAATATATATAAAAAATGGGGAATGAATATGTACTATTAATTTTCATATTTTAATTGTTTTATCAAAAGCACAATTAATGGTTTCCCCCCCCCAAGAAAACAACAAGTACAACGCTATCTTTCTCTCTATATTGGAAGCATCGAAAGAGGAAGAAGAGGTGTTGTAAGAGCACTGCTATGTCTCTGAAATGTATTGCCTGTATCAGCTCTTTCTTGCAGGAATCGCCATGCAGAATTATGGCTGTCCTTCCAATGCGGATCCAAATTTGTATCAGGCTGCTGCTTCCTCCATCTGATATAGAGCAAATATTAGCATTGTCTAGAAGCGCCTTCTGTCCCTTCTAGTAATCCGCTTCTCCCTCAGAGGAGCCTAATAAAAATGCGGTTGCTGTGGTAATTGTTATATTATGTTCAGAAAAGTGCCAAGAATATAATTACTTGCAAAATGACTTCACAGTTCAACTTTAATATACATGGTAGAACTGTTGGGTAGTAAAAGACAAGGAAAACTGGGTAAACAAGTCTATTTCGTGGTAGTGTCTTTATTAAATTAAACTTTTAATAGTATCACTGTGTTTACAGTACATTAACTATTCACAATTTTCAATGTTTGCCGTGTGTGTGTGTGTGTGTGTGTGTGTATGTATATATATATATATATATATATATATATATATATATATATATAAAAAACCCAAGCCACCAGAAGATGGATTCCTTAAGAATGTTCTCCCAGGTATGTGTAGAATATTAATTAGGACTGTCTATTTCGGTCGGATAATAACAATGTCCAACAACTGAATGGAATCTGTGACCTGTGAAAGAACCATTCATATGCTTTAGACTGCCTTGGAGCATTATTTAACAAGTGAACATGGAACTTTTTCACAGTGATCCCAAACGTTTCAACTGTGTATTTCATGGTTTGGTTGTTGTTGTGTCTCCAAAAACACACACAGAGATTCCCTCCCCACCCCTCCCCCCACGCTCTTGGGAAGGATTCCATGCTTGCTCTCACTTAAATAAATGCTTTTTAATGCTTTTTTATACGATCGTTTCTGCTATGATACCTATGGGCTTTCGATTGTGGTACTGGTAACCAGAGGATGTGTTCCAGCAATTGAATGTCTTCATCTTAAATCTTTAGGGCTGCGCAACCCCACCTTTAACAATCAGCCGTAATTAAAAAGCCGCTGTTCAAATTGTGTAAGGGATAAGTAAATTTCATTTTAAATACTGTAGTCAGGATTAAGGGGTTTTCTCACTGGGAAGCCTGTGGGCTCCCCCCTGCCCCCGCTTCCTCCTTCTTCTTGACTTCAGGCTGTATCATTTTTCAATGGAGAGCTAAGAATAATGGCCATTTACTGTAACAATTTCTAGAAGTATTTCAGTTTATCAAAGACGTTTCTCACGACTGACAGAAGCATATGGTTCACTTGCAGTTCCTGTAAGCATCCCATGGGACATGTTTCTCCATCCACAAAAGCACCATCAGAGGTCTAACTAGCTGATATTTGTCCTAACTAGCAGACAAGCCAAGTCCCCGTAGGGAGTAGGGATTGCAATGGACAGGGAGAATCAGCTGTCTCCAGCTATGCGGCATGGGCTCCCAAGGGCAGCTTTGTGAGATACAACAGGCACCAAAAGTGACCCCCTGTCCTTGCCTTCTCAAATATGTTGTTCCATCTTTTACAATGTTACACTGAAATGAAATTCTGGGCACGGTGTGTGTGTTAATTTGCATTGGGAAGTACAGCAATTACTGTTTTTCTGAGCTTAATGGTCTTTCAGATCCCTCATCTTTAGATGGTAATATGCATAACTTTACAGTAATAATAATAATAATAATAATAATAATAATAATAATAATAATAATAATAATTTATTATTTGTACCCCGCCCATCTGGCTGGGTTTCCCCAGCCACTCTGGGCGGCTTCCAACAAAGATAAAAAATACACTAAAATGCCTTGGGTTACAGACGCTTCAGGTTACAGATGCTTCAGGTTACAGACTCCACTAACCCAGAAATAGTACCTCGGGTTAAGAACTTTGCTTCAGGATGAGAACAGAAATCGCGGCGCGGCGGCAGCGGGAGGCCCCATTAGCTAAAGTGGTATCTCAGGTTAAGAACAGTTTTAGGTTAAGAACAGACCTCCGGAATAAATTAAGTTCTTAACCCGAGGTACCACTGTACTTCCTTCAAAAGGGAAACCAGCCACGCTGCCTTTGGAGAGGCCTACTCATTCTTTTGACCTCTGCCCATGGATGGGAACACGTCAAGCCCCTTTCAGATCTTCTTCTCAGCATGTTCACTCTATGCATGGGGAACAGGACGCGGGTGACGCTGTGGTCTAAACCACTGAGCCTCTTGGGCTTGCCGATCAGAAGGTCAGCGGTTCGAATCCCCATGATGAAATGAGCTCCCGTTGCTCTGTCCCAGCTCTTGCCAACCTAGCAGTTTGAAAGCACGCCAGTGCAAGTAGATAAATAGGTACAGCTGCGGAGGGAAAGTAAACGGCATTTCTGTGCACTCTGGCTTCCATCATGGTGTTCCGTTGCGCCAGAAGAGGTTTAGTCATGCTGCCCATCCCTAGAAAAGCTGTCTGTGAATAAACACCGGTTCCCTCGGCCTGAAAGTTAGATGAGCGCCGCAACCCCATAGCCGCCTTTGAGTGGACTTAACCGTCCAGGGATCCTTTACCTGATTGTTCCACCAATCCATAATGGATGTGATACACTGCTAGAGCCTTCTTCAGCTGTCATCCCCCTCATGGGGTCATGAGGCACAAGCTAGCCCAGCACTCTCCATCGTTCCCTCATTACTTGCCCCCGCTGCTCCCCACATATTGGGGGCTGCATGTTTGTTGTGAAGATCCTCAAGAACATAAGAAGAGCCTGGTGGATCAGCCCAATGGCCCATCTAGTCCAGCATCCTGTTCTCACAGTGGCCAGCCAGATGCCTGTGGGAAACCTGCAACTTCATTGGAATTCCAGTGCTCCAGCTGGGATAGCTCAGGTCAGTAGCACATGAGACTCTTAATCTCAGGGTCGAGGGTTCGAGCCCCACGTTGGGCAAAAGATTCCTGCATTGCAGCAGGTTGGACTATAGATGACCCTCGTGGTCCCTTCCAACTCTACAATTCCATGATTCTATGAGGGGGGGGGACCTTTATCTACTGCATGCCAGGCATCATTATATAATTCCTTTCATATCACCACTTGCTTTCCTTTTCTCTAAACTAAAAAGTCCCACATATTGCAACCTTTCCTCATAGGAAAGGTTGCTCCATCTCCTTGGTCTTTTTGGTTGCTCTTTTCTGAAAACTTCTCAATATCCTTTTTGAGGCAAGGCGACCATATCTTCTCTGCTCATGTATTCTTCCTGTGCAATTTAGAATCCTGATTATAATAATATAATAATAATAATTTATTATTTATACCCTGCCCATCTGGGTTTCCCCAGCCATTCTGGGTGGCTTCCAACAGAATATTAAAATACAATAGTCTTATTAAACATTAAAAGCTTCCCTAAACAGGGCTGCCTTCAGATGTCTTCTAAAAGTCTGGTAGTTGTTTTTCTCTTTGACATCTGGTGGGAGGGCATTCCACAGGGCAGGCACCACTACCAAGAAGGCCCTCTGCCTGGTTCCCTGTAACTTGGCTTCTCGCAGCGAGAGAACCGCCAGAAGGCCCTCGGCGCTGGACCTCAGTGTCCAGGCAGAACAATAGGTGGTGATTGTATGGCAGGCTCCTGGCAGGAGACATTCACTCTACAATGTGTGGAGTGTGAACAGGAGACAAGGATGTGACGGAAGGGACAGGGTCAATGGCCTTGTCTCTTCCTGCCCCCCAACATGATTCTCATCTTGTGGCTTGTGAGCAACCAGTGTCTTGAAGACATGGAGTGGTTAACATACATTTGTGAGTTTGCCCATGGATCTTCTCTTCTGGGATGATAACTGACATTTGCTGGATCACTTTCAGCCTTTTTCCTAGTTCACATTTCCCCACTGTCACAAAGCGATAACAGCCACTCGATAGGCCATTTCAACCCCCCCCTTTCCTTATTCTCGCTCCCGCTTTAAAAACAAAAAGCAAAAACAGCAACCATCGCCACTCTCTGTTCATTAAAGAAAATGTTGCAAACCCTGTGATTCTGCAGAAAAGGAACATATGAAAATATTTGTTGTAGCGATCAGATTTGTTTTGGATTGCCTTGAGAACAGAAGGTCAGAGACATAAGGGTCTGTCTGATAATATTAGTTTGGAAAGTATTACAAAATTGCTGTGTATGTGTGTGTGAGAGAGACCGAGAGAGAGAGAGAGAGAGAGAGAGAGAGAGAGAGAGAGAGTGTCAATGCTGTTAACTCCGTGTTTTCCATGACATGTTAAAAAGGAAACTGTTGTATTGATATGAAATAACTGACTCCAGGCAGGTCAACGCGGTCAATTTTGTCTCTCCACCATGCACTCCAGGGATGCATCATGCAGAGAATGTTTCATATTAACCGAGCTTTCAATGGAGGCAGCTGCTACTTCTCAGGAATGATTCCTGTTATCACGGTGGCTGCAAATTGTGTTGCTGTGATTACAGAAATTGCCGCTAAAAAAGTGCAAGTGTTATCAGTCGAGATTCCAGTCCGTATGGGAGATTTGCTGTGTGTGAATGCATCCCCAGGGAGCCTTTGCGTGGAGACAAAACTGACTGTGTGAACAAGCAACCCCTCAGTCTGTCTGACCCAATATCTTTGGTGTATATGCATAGGATTGACTGTGCACATAGAATTAGACTTTAGAAGCAACTGCGTTTCAGGAGATCTCTCTTTGCTAATTTGTTGCTTTTCACTAGGGAATGAAAAGTCTTTCCGGTCCACAAAGAATGATAATCAGTTGTTAATTCCCAAAGATTGATCCATGTATTCCAGATGAGAGTCTGTCAGAAGCAAGGAGGAAGTTGTGATGTGGTGCTCCTTGGTGGCAGAGTACAAGGAATCCCTCAGAGATGTGCCTTGTTCTCCAGCTGCTGCAGCAACAACAACAGAAGATTCAGTTATGCTCTAAGATTTGGGGCTTTATTGCTGGAGCTATCACTGAACCAGAAAGCAAGGAGCATGAGATTGTTTCCTGGCTGGTAGTTTTCTACATTTCTTCTCTAGCATCTGCAACTGACCATAAATGGAGATAGGATGGATCATGGGCTCGATCCAATTAAAATGTTCTCATCATACAACCTAAGAAGAGCTGAACCCTTACGCTACTGCTTGCAAGATGTATATATTATTTTTTCTGAATTCTTTCAAGTTTCACCCCTCTTCTCTTCCTCAAGGGCTAGGCTTATCCCTGATGCAACTGCTATTTTTATGTTGAAGCTGACCAGTACCTTGGCAAAGATAAATGCAGCCCTGTTGTATCTTTGTGTACTATTTCTTTGTCTCCATATAGATTCTCCAGATTTCTAATGGGAATATCTAACAGGAAATGCATTTTGTTGACTGTCGCTCATAAAACATGTCCTTTCCTACCCCAGTTATTTTTGTCACTTGTGAAAGCTCATCGTGCAATAGATAAACTGTCAAAAATAATTAAGAAAAATGCTGATATGCGCCCATGGCAAAGAATTATACTTTTTGATGGTGGCTGTTTTCATCGTCCAGAGTCAGTCCCTTGGCAGATATAAATACAGGTGTTATCACCTCATTGCAGATGATGATGATGTTCTGAATCAATGCCGACAAAGGCTGTTTGGGAGACATTCAGTATGGAGGAAAGTGATATATATTAGGAAGGTGGGGAGAGGAATGCAGAACAGCATTTAAACAGGTCCATAAAACTTATGTATACTGTAGGGATTGCTGGTGTTTTTTAAGTGTAGACAATATTAAATTATCCAGTTTGCATAATATGCCCGTTGACAGTAAAACTGATGATGAAACCCTATAAAATGCCAAACTCTGTAAGCATGTGAACATACTTTATATTTTAGGCGATTTACAGTTTGAGGTTTCGTTTCTGAGCTAATAGGTGTATAGGCAGTAAACTGCCACATGCAGACCTTAGTTGCTATTTAGATCATTGGGTTTCTACATTTTTGAAGTAAGCCCTTCTGCCCATGAGGGGTTTTTTGTTTGTTTTTTTAAACCCTACACAAATCTATACCATAAATTCTGAAAGGAAATGGGTTTTTGATTGGATTTATGGCACCAGATTACAGTAAATGGCTCAACAGTTATAGGATTATAGCCTTTTGCATTTGATAGGAAATACTGGAAGAGATATAGGAAATACTGAAAGAGAAGGGACGCGGGTGGCGCTGTGGGTAAAAGCCTCAGCGCCTAGGGCTTGCCGATCGAAAGGTCGGCGGTTCGAATCCCCGTGGCGGGGTGCGCTCCCGCTGCTCGGTCCCAGCGCCTGCCAACCTAGCAGTTCGAAAGCACCCCTGGGTGCAAGTAGATAAATAGGGACCGCTTACCAGCGGGAAGGTAAACAGCGTTCCGTGTGCTGCGCTGGCTCGCCAGATGCAGCTTTGTCACGCTGGCCACGTGAACCGGAAGTGTCTCTGGACAGCGCTGGCCCCTGGCCTCTTGAGTGAGATGGGCGCACAACCCCAGAGTCTGTCAAGACTGGCCCGTACGGGCAGGGGTACCTTTACCTTTACCTTTACTGGAAGAGAACCCATAATTCCGAAGAGAAGCCTTGAGTCTTAGGGGCTTTAATCTCTTACCAAAGGACTTTAGAAAATTAAAAAGCAAATGCATTTACAGCTGGAATCCAAGAGCCACTGAACTGAGGCAGCAGTTTAGAGGAACCAGTGAAAAGAAGGGTGAATTTGGATATGGGAAATACTGCGCTAGTGTCCCTGGCCATAATGCCAACACTTCTGTCATGTTTCCCAATGTCCACTTGACACAGCTGAGTGGCAATGATTGGCAGTGGCTCTCCGGGCGTTCAGGCAGGGGACACACCCAGCCCAACTGGGAGCTCCCAAGGTTTGGATTATTGAGCTACAGCCCTTATTTGCTGCACCTTCTTGAAAAGGGCTTCGTTGTTCTTTCCACTGCAAGGAGCTCGTGGTATTGTATATGGTTTTGCCTCCAACCCTTCACAACAGCTCCATGAGTTAGGTTAGGCGGACAGATAGTGACTAGGGGTTGGGGTGGTGGTACCCAGGTTGAACCAGCGTGGGTCAACTTGATGTCACCTGTATTGTAGCCACGGGACATATAATGTTGTGCGTGTGTGTGTGTGTGTGTGTGTGTGTGTTCAGAGACTTTCTTATATTTTTACCCATTTTTATGATGCATTGAACACTTTAAAATACAGAACGATTGAACGTATAAAAAAGAAATAAGAAGTGATTTATATTATATTATATTATATTATATTAATAATGTGTAATATTATATATATTCTGATATATATGTGTATATATGTGTGTGTACACACACAGACACAGGAATATATATATATATATATATATATATATATATGCACACACATATACATATACAGTACATATAAATATACTTCACTTATTAGCACTCAGAACATTTGGGATGTACAGTTTTTCTCACTTCTTCTCCTTTCATTTTCGTATCATGTGCTTGTTTGTTTTTGAAATGCACCCTTTGGTTGGAAAATGTGCAGACAATGAATGAAAGCATCTTGAGTTCAAAGTATTCTTGTTTTCATTTAAATCCTTCCTATCACCTGCTGTTTGTTGCTCTTTGCTTACGGCATGAATCCCCCTGGATTTCAGGAAACCTAACTGGTCCTCTATAAACTGCCATGACTATTCGTTTCCCATGTATTCTTCTGTCCCCATAGCTTCTGATGTGAAACAGATTTTACTTTTCTAGAGAGTAGAGGTCAACATGAAAGCTTCTTCTTTAAAAAAAGAAAAAAAGAAAAAAGAAATCACTCTGGCATTCAACTTTTCGGTTTGTTATGTTCTGCTTTCTACTATACTTTAGAATTATGTCACAAATATAAAGCAAAAATTCTGCATTAAGTTCTAAATTTCATTTTTGGGTGGGAATGTTGCAATTACCATGCCATTCAGGTGGTAAGTTTACACCGGTATCTCATGAGATTTTGAGAAAATGTCATCTTTGATGTTCATCATAGCATTTTATAGAAACTAATTGGGAAATACAATCTCTTTGTAGACTTTCATTCATTCCTCTTCCACATTCCAAGAGAGCACAGGGAGCACTGATTGTGTGACCACTTTTGTCCTGCCTCTGAGGAAGTAAGTAATTTCACTTCTATTATCTGGTGGTGTGACTGTTTGTATAAATACCTGCTCATCTGGAGAAATAAGGAGCTCACACTTTCTATTTGTAGAACTTTGTTGCTGGACTATTTCTCTCTTTCTCCTCCCCCCCCCTCTGTCTCTCTCACACACAAAACAGGGAGTGATATAGAACATTTATGTTGTACAATGTCAGTAGATAAGTTGTATTTGTCCCAAATTATCCATGAAAATTTAATGCAATTTTCCAGGGCATGGGGAATACCAGGCCCAGAGATGAAATGTGGCCCTCGAGTCTTCTCTACCTGGCCCTTGGGACTCTCCCCAAACCACCTCTCTTCTCATCCACACCCCTCTTCCCAGGGCAGACTCTTGAACCAGACCTACTTCATAGAATCCTAGAACTGTAGAGTTTGAAGGAGTCCAGAGAGTCATCTAGTCCATTTGCATTTTTACTGCAGGCCTGTAAAAATATTTTGCAAGCAGGTATAAGTGGCTGATAGATAAAGGTAAAGGTACCCCTGCCCGTACGGGCCAGTCTTGACAGACTCTGGGGTTGTGCGCCCATCTCACTCAAGAGGCCGGGGGCCAGCGCTGTCCGGAGACACTTCCGGGTCACGTGGCCAGCGTGACAAAGCTGCATCTGGCGAGCCAGCGCAGCACACGGAAACGCCGTTTACCTTCCCACCAGTAAGCGGTCCCTATTTATCTACTTGCACCCGGGGGTGCTTTCGAACTGCTAGGTTGGCAGGCGCTGGGACCGAGCAGCGGGAGCGCACCCCGCCGCGGGGATTCGAACCGCCGACCTTTCGATCGGCAAGCCCTAGGCGCTGAGGCTTTTACCCACAGCGCCACCTGCGTCCCAGGCTGATAGATAGAGGCGGACAAATATGTCAGTTTTGATTGTTCTCCAATCAAAATTTTGTTATTTGTTCCGAACTGAAGTTTGGTTCTACACCTTTCCACATCAGTTTTGTGAAAATAAAAACCTCGCAGTTTATTCACTAGCAGTTTACTGTGAATAATATACACATTTTGGCAAAGCAATTCCCGCCAATATAATGCATTCTTCTGTGTTATTTTTTACTTATAGATGTGACATACACAGTTTCCTCTGCTGCATTTTTGCACACATTACACTGCAAAAATTGGAGACATGCAAATTTCAATGTTTCAGTTTGCTAATTGTTTTGGAAAGTGAGAATTAGGTAAGAATACATCTACCGTATTTTTCGCCCTATAGGACACACTTTTTCCTCTCCAAAAATGAAGGGGAAATGTGTGTGCGTCCTATGGGGCGAATGCAGGCTTTCGCTGAAGCCTGGAGAGCGAGAGGGGCCGGTGCGCACCAACCCCTCTCGCTCTCCAGGCTTCAGGAAGCTCTGCGCAACCCTTGGGAGACCAGCGTGAAGTTGCGCAGAGCTGCTCTGCGCAACCCTAGGGAACCCGGCGCGAAGTCGTTCTGGGGGCTGGGGTCGGAGGAAGCTCGGGCTTCCCCCGTGTCAGCCCCACGCCTGGGGGGGGGGGAAATAATTTTTTTTCTTTATTCCCCCCTCCAAAAAAAAACCTAGGTGCGCCCTATGGGGTGAAAAATACGGTAAATGTTAACTGATTTCTCTCTTGTCCCTTCTGATAATATTAACAAGTGATATTAACAAGCCACAGGGTTGTTTCTGGGGACTTAAAACACATAGGTCCATAATGTCTCCTATGAGGCATAGGTCCATAGGAAAATTTATACATAGAGATGCTTCTGGTAAATGAAGATGGTGGCTGACTAGGGTCTTGCCAGGCTGCAAACTGAAGTGTGTCCAGCCACCCTAGAAGCAAAGAGGGGAAAAATAAGTTTCAAAAAGGGGGGAAGGGTCAAGTGATCTGTGGCCCATTGCAGATGACCCAGGGCTAGCTCTCTATTATGTGTTTAAGATTGCAGCCCTAATCTCTTCCAGAAAACAAAACAAAACAAAAACACCACTTCTTGCCCTTCCAATGCTGCCTTTGTTGCACAAGTGACAAGGGAAGGTATTCAGCTAACTTGTCCTCTTTCAAGGTTTCTAGTTAGCATGCAAAAGAAGGAAGTTGCACATCTTGTTCATGGGAAGATTATATGTTCCGGAAATGAGTACAGCACATAAAGGGCAGCAAGCGTTTACATTAACCAGAAAGATGGTGAAGGCCCAGGTCACTTTGGTCAGTGCTTCTGCTGCAATACATGAAACTTCCTGAGCAAATGTTTAGTATGGAGCTCTGATTCACAAATGACCTTAATGAAATGAATAATATTTTCACGCCCATAAATACATATACATACAATCTGAAATGAGCAATTGTTTTTTTGTGTCTCATCATTTTCCAAGGGAAACTTCATAATTTTCAAACCATATGTGAACCTGTGTGTGTGTGTGTGTGTGTGTGTGTGTAAATATTTTTTATATATCTATATATCTATATATATCCCATAGTTGCCTTTGACTGGACTTAACCATCTAGGGGTCCTTCACCTTTACCTTTACCTTTACCGTGTGTGTGTGTGTGTGTGTGTGTGTGTGTGTAAACGAACAGGACAAAACAAATCTTGCCTCTTTCTTTTGCTCTCTCACTCTCCCGCTTAACAAAAGCACCACCATCAACACCAAAAACCTTGAGTCTAATTAAAATCCACCACATTAAGGTCCTTTTGGTTATGAAGCAGACATGGCTGTCTGAAATTTGGGAGTCTTGATATGCTTTTCCAATAATGTGTCAAGCCCATTATAGTGGAATGAGCTACTAATGTGACATTACTGACATAATGTGATGCATCTAACCACCTGAATGATGCATCAGGCAGAAGGAATTTCCGAAGGAGGCTGCTCACTCTTGCAAAATGAAAAGGGGGAAAACAATCTGGAAGAAGTGGGACATAAATCCTTTTATATAGTTTAACACAAATTTAATTATCAAGTGTTTGTAAATGTTCAACCAATTAGGCAGCTTGATTGGCTGAAGACTCCTGGATTTATAGCTTTGAAGATAGATTATCTTGTGCGAGTGAAAGGTCTACATTAGACAGAGTGGTTTGCATGAGAAGCAGTTGGTTACAATGCTTGTATTAAGAGGATGAGCACTGCTCCTTTGCCTAACGAAAGGGTTTTGTGTTGTTGTTTTAAAGTCAAGTTCCCGCAAGTAGAAAATAAACAGAAGTACTACTGTCCTGTAGAAAATATAAAATAACACATAATATATATATAATATAACTTAATAGGAAAGTCAGATACAGATAGAGAGATACCTAGAGAGATCCCTTTTTCCATTTGAAATGGATTGTTATGGGTGCCGTCCAGCCCAAGTGAAGCTGAAGATCCCATTCAACAGAAACCAGTGGCTATTGGTTGAAATGGCGACATACTACCTCAATGTGATGGCCTTTCTCAATCTAAAGTATGGAGGATGCCTACCAAAGGAGGTGGCCTTTTTGGCAGTCACCCCCAATTGTAGAACACACATCCTAGAGAGGCTTGCTGGGCACCCACCTTTCAGCATAATGGAAAACCAAGATCCACTAGGATGAGATAATCTGGACTTTTGCCAATCTTGGGCTTTAAGTCCCCTCCCAAAGGGGTTTTTCATGGGATTGGTGAGAGTGAAGGTCAAGGAGAGACCCACACCTATTCCAAACACCATTCAGCTGAGTAATGTGACCTAGGGCCCAGTCCTCAAAACTCCAGCCAATGCTCACCTGTCAGCGCAGGCTGAAGTAGCCTTCCCAGGGGCTGCTGGAAGGAGTTTGGAACAGGGTAAATTATCCCAGTTTCTTATAGTTAGGATTGTTCTACCGTGACCTTTACAGAACAAGGTAAAAGTGTGTTTCCCACCCAGCTCCCCAGGTCTTCTAATATCATTTTAAAATAATTTAATATCGTTTTGATATTAGTCTCTTCTAATGGATGTTGCTTGGTTTTAGCTCCCATGAGATTTCAGCTCCTTTGAGATACGGTTTTTAGTTTTCTTATGTGTTAAAATGGTTTGTTGCTACAGCTGGAATTTTAGTCTTTTATGCTGGGTGAGTTAATTGTATTTTTGTTGCGTTTTAACCTTGTTTTAGTTTTTATGCATTTCACATCACCTACATATTTATTTATTTATTTATTTATTTATTTATTTATTTATTTATAAATAAATAAATAAAAAGAGATAACAAATAATAAATGTGATGTTGTGGGCTTCCCAGAGAATGGTCCATCACCTGTGAAACAGGATACTGATGGACCTTTGGTCTGATCACACACACAGCTTTAGGGGGTACCAAATTTTGTCCTTGCTGAGGGTACCATATTTGCTCACCCCACCACTTCTGCTGCCACCAGAGAAACAACCCAGGTAAGGGAGGCTGCAGCAGTGGCAGAATGGCATGGTATTCTGCTGCACAGCATTGCTTGCTGGTCTCCCCCACCTTCAGGGGTAAAGAGAGACCAGCAGCAAAGCCTCGCAGAACGGCCTCCTCTCACTGCATGAGGGAGGTGTTTTGGTGCACAGGCTTGCTGCTGGTATTCCCCGCCCCTAGGGGGGACAGAGACCAATAGCAAAGCTAGCTTTGAGGAACACCTCCTTCTCACAGAGACTCTTTCTTGCCTTAAGGAAAAGCCCTTCTGGATCCTAGCTACCTACCAGAAAAAGCAGGAGAAGCCTGAGCAGGGTTTGTACCCCACCCTGCCCTCAGATACGAGGCATTGGAAGGACTTTTCATTGCAGGGAGGTTCTTGCAGACCTTCACACCCACCCTCATCACGGGGTGTGTGGGGTGTGGGACATTTTGCCTCAGACACCAAAACAACTTGGGCTGCCCCTGCATAATAGAGATATAATTAAGGTGCTGATGTGTTTCTTAGGGTTATTTTTAAGCTGAGATGTGGAGGCCCCTTTAACTCGTACTTCAACTTGCACCTATTCTGCGGTCTGAAAAGAAGTGTGTGTGCTGGTATCCACCAAAAACCATCTGGAACTCTACACAATTGAGGTTACCAGCCGTGCGGATACCAATACAGTCATACTTTGGGTTACAGATGCTTCAGGTTGCGCATTTTTGGGTTACGGACACGCCCAAATCCAGAAGTACCAGAATAGGTTACTTCTGGGTTTCAGCACTCGTGCATGCGCAAAAACACTAAATCGAGCTTTGAACATGCTCAGAAGCGCCGAATCACAACCCGCACGTGCGCTGTGGGTTGCAAACACTGCGGGTTGTGAACGTGCATCCTGCACGGATCACGTTCGCAACCCGAGCGTCCATTGTATATGCATGCAGGTACACATTTTCACATTTCCTGCTAAACAGCACACCAAAACAGTAAGCGTGGGTCCCAAAACCAGTCCAGAACAATTAGTTGGGTAAGGATAAAAATGTAAACTTACTGCTGCAAAAGTATTGTTCTCTTGTTGAGAGCTGAGTCACTGGGGCATAGTGATGCCTGTTGATGCAGGAAAAGATGTCCCCCGACCCCTCTACATAGAACAAGCAAGTGAAAGAAACACACAGATGAAGGATGTTTAGCGCTGTAAAAATGACATGTGGTTGCACCCTACGGTCTCTCAACAAATACCGGTAAGTGTGCTCCAAGAAACTGAGCGAGTACCATGCCATCAAAATGTGATCCTGCCAATCCTTGGGGCAGCAATCTGACTCACACCTTCCTGGGTGTAAACATCAATGACATGGTGTGACGTCCTTCTGGCCAAATGTGTATAACAGTCTTCCCCCAATCTGGTGCTACAAGTCCCAAAGCTGTGCTGGCTGGGACTGATGGAAATTACAATTGAAGGACACCAAACTGGAGGAAGCTAATGTATAGGCTTGTTCTGCAAGTTACTACGTATTTGCAAAAAAATTTATTCTATCCAATTTTGAATTTCTGGCTCATCAAACTTGGGGTGGGGTGAGGAATTCTGTACAAGAGTGAGTTTTGTGCACAGCCCACAATAGAAGAACATGCAACACTAGCCAGTAAACACAATGGTCTTCACTGAAAAACACAAAGAATAATTTTGCTGGCAGATGAATATTTTCTCTTGTACATGCATGTTGTATTTTCTTAATCCTATCATTTAATCTCTCTGCTTCCTTCCTTGTACTATATGGCAAATGGGAGGAAATGAACAAAAATCACTGGAGGTGAGGGGGGAAGAGAATTTGCATATCAAAGGATATTATTTTCAAGTGAAAACATAAAAAAGTTTTTTGGGGGGATTGCGGTTGTGTGGTTAACTCCGATTGACTTCTGAGTGTACTTTAGATCAAGCCTAGTTTCTTTTGTGAAACTTCCCAGGGAGGATAGTAGAAAACCTGCCAGTCATCATCTCTGCATGAAAAAGATGCTTCTGAAATGCCTGAGTCACAATCTGAAGACAGTCATGGATTGACAGCAGTGTTCACCTGAAATATGGCAACCTCTTTCTAAACCAAATCTAACACCTTTTGCTTGACAGTCATTAAGCAATTGCAAAGGACTTAGCAATGTTATGGCTGGGCAACCATGAGTGACTTGGGGCTGTTTGGAATATTACCTGTGAATCCTTGCAATTCCCTCAGACCCCAGACTAGCACTGTGCTTCGTGGCATGAGGTTTTGCAGCAATAGTTCTGTTTGCTGGTGGCTAGGATGGAGAATGTAAGCCTGGCACATGGCAAAACATGCAGAGTTTTAATATATTAGGAAGAGATGCCCCATCTTTTAGACCCAGTGAAGACTGCACAATGCTAGGAAATACCGGTAACAGTTGCAGATCAAGTATATTAAGTGGGAAAATAAGGAAAACATCCCCCCCCCCCAGAATACATAGTCTTAATGAAATTCCCCCTGTTGGAGAATACAACACGTATTTTCTATTTATTTATTTCTCTCTCTCTTGAGGAGATAAAAAAAATAAAATAGCCATGTTAGTAACTGTCACCTGGGGAACAGAATCCTTTCCAGCTTTGAATATCAGAACATTCTCTCCAACATTTTGCACCTGGCATAAAAACAAAGAAAATAAAACATTACAACACATTCAGTTGCACCCCAAACTTTTCATTCATTCAGTCCATCAGCACTATCAGTCTCCCTATCTTGTGCCCAAACCTGCCCTTTGTATTCCAGCCCCTTTGTCTTAGAAAGAATATAATCCATGTTCATTTCAATGGCTCTCTCTCAGCATTACCTTAGCCTGCCTCCTTGACATTCTAGCTTTCCCTCCACCTTTCCTTGAAACATCTGATATAAATATTAAGATTACCTTGGCTTTCTGTCAGCCCTGCCACTGCTCCTTGTGTCTTTTTATGTACGGGGAGGGGGATGCTGCAGAAAGCAGAGCTCTCGCCAAGGATGTCAGCTGTCTCTCAGATGCACCGCATGGGGGGGAAAACCTCGCTGTTGCAAGCTGCCTGCAGGAGCAGCAGAGAGTGCGAGACAAGCAGGCTTCAGTTGCTAGAGGTGTGTGCCACTGGGATCGAAGTACCCTTTATGGAGTAAATCTGTTCCTGTATCCCTCAACAAATGAACCATTGGAAATGTTGTGCCTTTCTTTAGGCTAGCAGGTCTTCCTGCTCATGACTACAGCAAAATTGGTGAACTTTCCATTGATAATGGCAACAATTGGATTAAATACAGGGCAGGGTTTTATTGGAGAAAAGGCAGTCCAATACAGTGGACGCTCGGGTTGCGAACATGATCCATGCAGGAGGCATGTTCTCAACCCGCAGTGTTCGCAACCCGCAGCGCCACAGCTGCGCACACGTGGGTTGTGGTTCGGCGCATGCGCAAAGCCCCGAAACCCGGAAGTAACCGGTTCCAGTACGTCCGGGTTCACCACAGTGTGCAACCCAAAAACACGCAATCTGAAGCATCTGTAACCCGAGGTATGACTGTATCCATTTTCTTAGCACCAAGAGGGCAGAGAAGACCCTATTGCCTTCCCTCCAGGAAACAGAGCCACTTAATAAGGCAGTGTGTGTCTCCTTCACAACACAACTGCCAAACAACTTGTGCTTCCAAGACATCAATTTAACCCAGGGGTCAGCAAACTTTTTCAGCAGGGGGCCAGTCCACTGTCCCTCAGACCTTGTGGGGGGCCGGACTATATTTAGTAAAAAATTAATAAATGAACGAATTCCTATGCCCCACAAATAACCCAGAGATGCATTTTAAATAAAAACACACATTCTACTCATGTAAAAACACCAGGCAGGTCCCACAAATAATCCAGAAATGCATTTTAAATAAAAGGACACATTCTACGCTGATTCCTGGACCATCTGTGGGCCGGATTTAGAAGGCGATTGGGCCGGCACGCACGCACACACACACACACAAATTTGTAAATCTGTCTGTGCTTGGCTTATGACCTTTCACATAACCTTTCAAACACTTGCATTTGGAGATGATCCCTAACTTAGCAGAAAGAGAAAGAGAGATAAAGAGATGATAGATAGATGATAGATAGATAGATAGATAGATAGATAGATAGATAGATAGATAAGACTTGAAATACTGGACAAAACTGTATCAATACAGGATGTAGCCTTTTGCATTGAAATACGGGACAATCCTGTATTATACAGGACAGGTGGCAACCCTAAATCCTGACCTCTTTCTGTGCACACATTACCCTTGCAATGGCTCTGCTCTGCCTCCACTGTCAGAGGCAGTAATGCTCCAGGATACAAGTTGCTGAAAGTCACAGGACAAGAGAGTACTCTTGTGCTTGGGTCCTGTTTCAGGTCATAGGAGCCAACTCCCTATAACCCTCCCATAAAATATTTGAGGGGTCAGGGGTTCCCCAACGTTGATGGGCATTTCCATTCAAATAGTGTTTGCACCACATCTTGTGATTGATCATGTGGGGTGGGGCTTACCTGCCCCCCACAATATTTTCTCCACAATATTTTCCCACAGGCATCTGGGTGGTCAATGTGAAAGCAGGATGCTGGTCCAGATAGGCCACTGGCTCTTATGTTCTCATATTGCTTGGATTGTGGTGAATTTAATTCACTCTTATTTATTTATTCGCTACCAAATAAATATGTATTGAAGATTATATTAATGAAACAGTGATTTAGAAAAGCAGGCCTGTTATTCTTCTGTCCATTTTGCTTCTCTTTATCTTCCTGTGAGGTGGGCAGCGGGAGCTCAGCAGCTCTTTGTCCAGAAGTCTTTACAGAACGGGATTTAAGATACAGTAAGTTCATAACTCACCCATTACATAAATACTCCCTCTGCTAGAGAAATATACACATACACAATGTATGTTAATGCTAGAAAAATACACAGACAGGAGGCACTTCATGTGACTGCAAAGGTTTTGTGGTCAGCAGACCGATAAAATTCTATCAACCATTCTAGGGATGAGATCACTGATTAAAAAAAAGATGTTTTCACAGTTGCAAAAGTAAAATAAAAATAAGCTTGTCAGCCCTGCCTCTTGGAGCTGCTACCCTTTGCTCACATTACAATTCCTAATGCAGACAAACACAGCACAAACACAGCTCAGGGAATCACAGGGAGCTTCTATCATGCGTTAGGTGACTTTGGAAAATTCTGTTACGATTCTGGAGTTCTTTAAACAACAGCTCTTAGCTAAGTAATAAGGACCCACAGAGCAACCCTAACCAGGTCTACTCAGAAGTGAGCTCTAGTAAATTTGATGGGGCTTACTCCGAGGCAAGATTGCACCCCGGTCACTATTATCTCCTTTGATCTGCCAAGTTTGGGGGTAGATCACTGAAATGCATTCAATGTGGTGTGGGGATCTCCCTGAAAACGGTTTGGAAACTGAAGATAGCATTGAATTTCCTTGACCGTACCTTGACCAGGTGGGACTCCAGAACCTCTCACATTGGTCATTAGGCAACTACACTGCCTACCATGATGCTTCTTCCCAGGTTTGGTTCCCAGGGTCTCAGGATGTGTTCCCATTATTGTCTTAGAGTGCAGCAGCGAAGTTGTTTTTTCAATGCATTTCGCAGATCTTTCCTACCTCTCAGCTGTTCACATGAGCACAGCTTCAGGTCATTTCTGTTTCCATACACACCAGGAGGTGTGGATGAGGGGGGGTTATGTATTTACCCTGTGCAAAGGTGTTCACAAACAAATTAGGAACAGCAACTCCCATCAGTGGGAAGCTAGCATGAAAACACCAGGGCGGGAGACATATGTGTCTGGGATAATGCCCACATGAACACATTAGAAATCCAGCACTGGAAATGCTGTGAGTTCACAGTAAAAGGGAGGACGAACACAGCCTTGGTTGAACATTTGGAGAAACCTACTGGTGGTAATAGTGGTTTGACAATGGAACCAAACACCTTGAGTAGGGCTAGGGAACCTTTGGCCCTCAAGAAATTGTTGGGCTCCAACTTCCGCCACCCTCACCTGACATGGCCAGGTATCAGGGATGATGGAAGCTGTAGCTCAGTAACATCTGGAAGGCCAAAGGTTCCCCAGCCCTGGCCTACAGGAAAGGAGGGCTCTCCCTTGCTGGAGGTCTTCAAGGAGAGTCTGAATGGTGATTGCTTGGGACATTCTAGCTCTGGATTCCCAACACTGAGCAGGGGGTTTGATTAAACAGCCTACAAGGCTGTCTCCAGCTCTATGATTATTAGACATAATGGCACCAGTATTTGTGTCAATGTATTCTCCCACATAAACACCCATAGATTATGGTGACACCCACACCATACATTTAAAGTGCACTAAAGCACCCTGGAAACTGCAGTATGTCCTTTACAGAAGTGCAGTTCCCTGCACCTTCAACAAATAACAGTTCCCTGGATCCTTCAGCAGAAGCTATGCGCTTTAAATGCATGGTGTGGATGTGACCACTGAGATACTCATGGATGAATCTGTCAGGGAAATTAGGTCTTCAGGATAAGACTTTTCCAGCTGTGGCACTCTAGTTAAAAAAATGAACAAACCTCTCTAGATGGTCCTGGTAAGGCACTTCACTGTATATTTCTAGCAAGGAAGTGAAAGCAACTCTGTATTTCCTAGGTATTTTAATGGTGGTGTTTGGATGACTTTTTGTTTGTTTGACCACATTTTTATCCCACCTTCTTCCTGCTCAAGAAGTCATGCATTTTCTTCTCCCTTGCCATCTCCATTTTATCTTCACAATAACCCTCTTAGGTAGCTTTGATAGTGAATGGCCCATGATCACCCAGTGAGCTCAGCTTCATTAATGTGTGACCCAGAAATTCTGGATCCCACTCCCAACTGATGCCAAAGTTTAGTGCTAGTTTAATTCCATTTTGTGCCATGGACCCTACGTTTCATGATGTCCCTCCAAACTGAGTAACTGACACAGCAAATTGCGGTTAATGCCAAAAAAAATCCAACCTTGTCCGATTCACTCCAAACAGGTGCCAAAGTTTTGTGCTAGTTTAGTGCCGTTTTCAGGCTCAAATTTAATGAAGCTCCATAGGTGAGTGAGGCTTTGAACCCAGATCTTCCCAGTCCAACACTTTAACCACTATACCACACTACACAACCCCACCACACAACTTTTGCTGCTATTTATATGCTGCTTTGCAGTGTCTGTCTGTCTGTCTGTCTGTCTGTCTGTCTGTCTGTCTGTGTGTGTTTAAACAGAGCTGTTGTTTTAAAAATCTGCCAAACAAAGGTAAACCAGATTGGAGCAAAACCCAAATTATTCCCCATGTGCCTTCCTGAGCTCATAGACAATTGAGTGTAGTAGTTATTTTAATACATGGCTTGCTTAGAAGAATTGTTGCTGGCCTTTGGTGGGTGGGTGACTACATTATACTATGGGTATTAATTAACATTAATACTAATTGTAAGCATAAATCAGAAAATGTACACACTAAATGAAACAGGCAGAGGTGGATCTGAGAGACTGGCATTCAAGCACCACTTTCCCCCTGGATGTACATTGTGTGACCTCTGACAAGTCTCTCTGATGTAAAAAATGGAGTTTGGCTTCTGCTGCCCAACTCCCATGGGACTCTGAGTCCCCTAAGTCCATGATTGGTCAGAGAAGAATGGATGGAGGCAGGATACTTTATTTTTCTGTTGCAACAGAGTTCCCTCCCCTCCTCGCAAGCAGGGAGAGATCCAGAACAAAAGTGTGCAGGAACCATTAGTAACTTTTGACATCGCATCTGTAAATGAAAACAACAAAGATTTATCTCAAGGGGATGCTATGAGCACAAACACAACAGGGAATACAAAGCACTTGCAAATTAACAGGACATCCCTACACAGGTTCACTTGAAAGAAAATCCCACTAAGTTCAATGAGTCTTACTCCCAAGTCAGCATGCATAAAACTGCAGCCTATGCGTGTCTCTTCAGGAGTAAGTCCCATTGCATTCATTGGGAATTACTCCCAGGTACGTGCGCATAAGAATGCAGAACTTCTCTGCATCTGAGTTCCAGCTGAAAAAAAAGCCCTGTAAAAAGT